TCAGTGAGAGGGAGGCCCAGCCTCCCTGTCCCGAGGCCCGTGGGGAGGAGTTGGGGGGATTTCCAGAGGTAGGCAGCCCAGCCTCTCCACAAGCCAGTGGAGGCCTCACTGAGGAGCCCCTGGGGCCCGTGGAGGGGGAGCTCCCAGGAGAGGCCTGCACACTCGCTGCCCATGAAGGAAGAGGAGGCAAGTGCACCGAGGATGGGGAGGCCTCACAGCAAGAGGGCTACACTTTAGGTTCTGACCCCGTCTGCCTCAGTGAGAGCCAGGTTTCTGAGGAACAGGAAGAGATGGGAGGGCAAAGCAGCGCGGCCCAGGTCACAGCCAGTGTGAATGCAGAGGAGATCAAGGTAGCCCATGTTCATGAGTGTCAGTGGGTGGTGGAGGATGCTCCAAACACGGATGTCCTGCTATCACACAAAGATGATGTGAAGGAGGGAGAAGGTGCTCAGGAGAGTTCCCCAGAGCTGCCCTCAGAGGAGTGAAAGGGACAATTTGGCTAAAGTCTTTCTCTGAACAAAGCCAAAGGGTTTTAGGGGTACACTTAGGGGTTGCATGTAAGCTGTTACCAAAAAATGTTTAAGTATTTTCTGAATTTGAATCATAAAACCGGAGGAAATGCACACAGGGCATGAGCAACTGAGGCAAACCTTTGTGGAAATGAATTGTTCTACCATGACTTTTTGCTTTAGTATTTTAATAAGAATTACAAAGGCAATGGCGTACTTGGGGTGAGAGGGAGTTGAGGATGTCTGAGGAGGGAATAGTATTGCAGGGAAGACTGAGAAAACAGTAGGATGACAGTTTTGAATATATTCTTTACCTTTCAGTGGTGCAATCTTCTTATGCACTTTAAGGCTTTTTAATTTTGTTTGAGAATGCAAATGTATACCATAAGTCTAGCTTTACTATCTACTATGCCTACTTCACCATCTCTTAAGGACTCAGCATTTGTCCACAGTCAGGCTGCAAGAGAGGGTAGGTCATGAACAGTCACCCCTGCTGGCTGTAGCCCCACAGAGGCAATCGCGCCCAATAGGTTCAGGAAAAGCTAAGCGGAAATGGAGGGCGGAAGGTGTGATCTGTGGGACTGTCTGGGCCTGTTACCCATCCTGCTATCGATTTCTTATTAATTAATCTTGATGATTCTTATTAATTAATCACATTTTCAGGAAATTCAGATGAGGCAAGAAAATTTTATTGGCCTGGGTAAGCCTGAAAGCATTCCA